GCTTTTTTATATGCTTTTCACAGTAATAAATGAAAGAGGACATTGGAATATGAAACATTAATGAGAGATCCCACCCTATCTGCCTTTGTGTCCACAGTATCGCATGACCTTTTAATACAACTGGGCAGGGTCAGGGAAGAGTATTTTTTCAAGGTGTGTGAATTGAAAAAATATGGCATGACTCTATGAAAAAATAATACAGCTTACATTCATTCTCTTGGTATAATTCATGTAAGAAGATTTGCTTTCCCAAAGTAAAGCAAAGAAAAGCTGCTGGTAGCTGGCCATGTTCTTTTCAGGACATRCAAGACGAACACAGAATTTCTTCCCTTTAAAATCTCTAGACCTCCAACAGCTAGCAAGAACAAGCTTCATTTAGATTCTTCCTATTAATTCCTGTTAGGATTCTTTCTATCATTAATGGTTTGTACCATTGTCTCCTTTTGGTTGCTGACTGACTCCAGAATTTTAGTGCAATACTCTACAACTACCAGGCACAGAAAACTTCAACTGAAAAGGTAAGGAAAATTTCATCTTTCCTTAGACTCTCAGCTTGAATTTTAAAAGTTCAAAAAGTTTAGAAAAAAGAAGGGTGTTTATTTTCATCATAAAGAAATACTCAAGGGCAGGCTTAGAGCTAGCAGGCAGACTGGTCTTATCAGAGCAAYACACAGAAATTCTAGAATTAAGTTACCGAAATTTTTAAGACCTTAGCATAGAGTGGCAACCCAACCTAACGGTGCCTGAGGATGTCTGAATAAACAGGGATTTGCTATCAAGAAGCAAAGGATGCTCAACAAGTTATTAGAGAGACCAGAATATTAGTGAGACATTCCAAGGGAAACCCTCTGAAATGATGATATTAAATACGATATTAAATGTAATTTATATCAGTACCCAAAATGATTAAATTTCTTTTCTTGTGCATTCCTGTAAACCAACTTTAAAAAAAAAAAAAAAAAAAAAAAGAGAGAGAGACCTTGATAATAAAACAATTGATCCATTCTTCCTCTATTCATTTTGGTTGATGCCTACATAGTTTAATTAGCTGATGCTTTGACGGGTCATTATAGGTGTTCTGAGCATAGATGCTATGTTCACTGGTGATGAAACCAAGAAAAGTGATTTCTTCTGACTTCTGCTAGATTGTATGTACAGCCAAATCTTGTCTTAATCTTGTGGTAGAAAAAAAAAAAACAGTTTGAGAATTCATTTTTACCTTGAGATCAATTATTGTCTACCTCAGACTAAAACCGCTAATACTTTTTCATAACCTAGATTAACTCAAGAGATCAGTAAAATAGCTATTATTTTTGGTTGGATGAGGTAAGCCTCTTACATCTCAGCTACCAAATACACTCCATGACCCTTTAGCCTTATTTTATTGCAAACGAAGGAAACATTTGATGATTTCTCAACCTCTGTTAGTGTATTCAAGAGCTTAAAACAGATGGTTTAGCCTTGCATGTCACTGCATGCAAAGCAATGTATTTCTGTTTTACCTAGTACATTTCAGGGTAGTCTTCACAGTGAGTTAATTCAGTTCAGTAAAAATGATAGCCTGCTGCTTAAGCCCATCTGGTGCATGGTGTGATTTCATTTGCCTGTTTGCAGGCCAAATGAGTGAAAATGCACTTTACATCCTTCACTTGGAATTAACTCTGAAAATGATATTAATGTTCAGGCAGACAGTTACTGAGTTTAAATTATATACTTTAAGGCAAGTATTCAAARGTACGGAAAAATTATTTCACTTTTTCATACTAGTTATATTTCAGAGGATCTTGTATCTAGTGTACTAAGTCTGTATCTGTTAAATCTTTTAAAAGTTTAAGTATTGGAAAACTGTAAGACAACATTTCTATTGGTGAATAGCTGAAGTGCAGTTCTCAACAGACATGTCTTGCACAATTAATTCCTGGTAGCATTAGCAAGGTGTGTCTTACTAGAACAAATGGATAAATTTAAAACTAATCGAAACTGTCAGTTACCATATTTTTATCTATTTCTATTTGCGTGTGTGTAACTTTCTTTTGAAGAACTGAAGGTAGCACATTTCCTCTTTACTATATAAAATAAACATCTGCCCAGGTAGCCCAAATGTATAGTTTCATCTCTTTTTTTTTTTTTTTTTTTTTTTAAAAGTCTTTAAGTTTCTACTATATATATATTATTTAGAGTGAACATCTTACATAATATTAAGTATTAAAGAGAGAATAAGTTAACGGCCTCCATAACTATAAATTATTCACTCATGTTTTAGTGCCTACATGTCAACAAGCTTACCTATCCTTTAGGTAAAATACTCAAGGTGATTGAAGAGGAATTGATTGGATAAAATATGGAGCAGATGGCTTGTGTTAACTGTATTACTGAACTGTAAATTCACAGCGTTACAAGACACACATTTAGTGCTTAGAAATTTGTTTCTCAACATAGACATCCAAATTTTATTCTAGCTGCTGATTTAATAAGCCATGCATATTCCATCAACTGCTCCATGTTCCAAAATTTTAGCTTACAGGTGACAAATACATCTAGCTAGAAATAGCGTTCATTWTTCTGGAAAAGTGGGTGTTGCAACTGGTAGCTGACTTTTATCCAAGAGTGAAAAATCTCCTTGAGTAGTTAACCAGTCATCTGTCTCAGCCAGTGGGGTTATCTCCCTGTTCTCTCCTGAATGGTTTATTTTATACTTAACATCCTAAATACTCACATGCTGTTACTGAGTATTTTTATCACTGGCTGATGAAAAGGTAGATTTAATAGACMGTTTTTCTATATCATCACTAAATTGATGGATTTACCTTGTACAGTTAATTATAGTTAACTCCTCACACACTGCTCACAGAGTTCATTTTGGTTTATCCAAAAAATTGAAGTGCTTGAAGGTCAGACGTATTATATAAAAGGCAAATTCTTAAATGACTTACCCACTTTATATAAACAGATCTTGAAAAAAAATGGGCAAARAGAGAAATACAGTATTTCTGTATATAGCTTTCCTTTCTATAGAAAAGGCGCACAGTTACCAATTTAGAAAATTAAAATCAAATTGCATGCTAAATTAAAATTTCATATTTATTATTCTTCTTTAATTCTCTTATTATTTATTCCTTTCTGCTCAAGTCATATATAGGACAGATGAACTGAGTCATCATCCGAAGGTAACTGACTCACCATGCCCCTGCAAAAAGAGCCTACATGCCCTATTTAAACAAGAGMACAACTTAATATTAGGCTATACTGCCTTTGGGCTGAGTCTATTTTTCTTTTCCCAGACTCCCTTGTAGATGTTTGCTCCTATCTTTCGTTTCCTATTTTCAGGAAAATTAAGGTACCTAAAAAATGTAATTTCTATTCTACTGCTCCTCTTACAGAAAAAAAATGCAAGAGTAGTTATCTATCATGGAGTATAATTACCTTATGAGAGAGTATGTTTCCTATACATAAATGCATCTTCTTAAACTGGGAATAATTGTTTTATATTCAATGAAAGAAAGCGGGCAGTTTTACTAACTCAAAGCAAATTTTTGGTCATGTAGGATATACTAATCTAAGATGGTAAAGCTATGCCAGTATTTATTGAAATGATTATTATGTTTTTTCAATTTTTTTTTTTTCCTGGCAGTCATGCTTTGACTTTAATAGACTTGCATACTTTAAGACAGCTTGAACTGAGTCCATTGAACATCATGCTAGATGGTGTCCAACCCCATGCAACGGTTTAAAAACTGGCCAAAGATTCAATTAAATGTGTCAGTCAGTCACTGTAGATCACTGCTAGCCCTTTGCTTTCCATGTAGCCATTAGTTATGAAGAGTTTGTAGGCAGCTATGCAGGCAAGAACATCTAACTGTGCATTTACTTAATGATAAAAATCCAAACAACTTCCCTCCTTAAGACATCGATATAAACAACTAAATTTCACTCATATGAGTGGCAGTCTGTCCTTACTTGTTCCTTTATAAAGTAATAGATCTAAATCAGATCTAATCCAAATATAACAACTATTTAATCACTTTCTAAGGACTGTTTGCTCATAAGTTTAATGACAGAATGTGTATTTTCTACTGAATTACAGAAATGTGTTTAGAGATGGCATCCTGCCTTACATCCATTTTAAACCTTGCYGTCTTTTGCTCTTGGTGCCCTTCTCTTTCCTATAGGTCTCCTTCTTCCACACTTGGTACAATACTATCACAGACAGAGCTTGTCTATTCTTCAGGCAAAATCAAAGATAATCCTACCTTCGCTGAGAATAACAATCAAGGCCCAAGAAAATATAGGTTTTCCTGGTATAGGCGATGGTAAGAATCACTGAAACTTCTAAGAACTATATATTTACCAAACACCAATGCAATCAGACCAATTTTATCCATGTGACTAAATAATTTTTTTTATATACTTAGTCATGACTTATTTTAAAAACAGAGAGCCTGATGAAAACACACAGAGACCAAAATRGACTGAGAGTGACAAACCAATGATTAAGAACTTAAATTATATTGTGTCCTTTCAAAATGATAAACTGGATTTTCTGGTCCAATAATAACTTAAATAAAAACATACATGTAACATAGCATGGCAAATGCAATATACGGCAAAACAACTTGGAGCAGTAAGAGAAATTAATAATTAATATTAACAAGTTAAGATTCATGTTCCTAAACTAGGAAATTGAATTCTACAGTTATCAACTCCCAAGCAAGGCAGATCATACCACTTCTTACCTTTAGTACATGGAGAAACAGACAGCAGTCGACTTTGGAGTAGTTGGTGGATACCGAAGAAACACTTGTAAATATCTTAGTTCTACTATCCACCATTTATTCATCAAAACTTCAGTAGAGTTAGCTTGTGAAGAGGAATATTTTAAAGCAATACTGAAGTGCGGGATACAGTCTCAGATTTTTGAAGTCTTTTTAGCTGCATTTTTTTTTTTTGAAGACAATGGCATAGTTCTTTTGAAAGTTAATTATAATTGAGCTGAAACTTACCGTATATGAGTAATGATGAGGTTGGTAGTAGGAATGAAAAAGTCATCCACTTTGTCAAACTGCTTTCCCACAGGCTGAGTATGGATTGTGTGATGAGAAACACTCCCACTGGCTTGTGTTATCACCTATATGAGGCAACATTATTATCCACTGTAGAAATACTCCTTCAAAATTTAATGTATGTTCAAACAAATTAATACAATATTGCTACTGCATTCCGTTTCTTTTGTATTATTCTTCAGGTATAAACAAAAGAGTATACAAATGACAGTGAATAAAGTTGAATGGCACTGCAGATTTCAGAATTTCTTTWACATATTGCCTAATCTTCATATTTATTTCTTTTTAATAAAGATTTGATTTTCTTCCTTTTCCACCATACTTATTCATTTCAAATACTAAGTCTCTGATAGTTCTTAGTGAGTACTAAGAYACCTAAGGTATTACAAGCCTAAATTCTTCAAATTCCCATTGATCCTTCTCCAAGCATAATGKTCATGGGTGAATAAAATGCAAATATATATTAATAGCCACCATAATATTTACATATACGCACCTGAGGCTGGATAAAAATCAAAAATCCATTACATGTAATAGGAAAAAATGACAGTGAGGCTAATAGTAACCTTTAAAAAATTAACAAGAAACTCCTGACACAGTTATGAGTTGTTCTGCAAGGAGAAGCAACCGCTAAACTCCTGTGAATTGCTAAGCTACTAAGGATCTGTAGGTGCTAAAAAGGCGTATTCGAATGTTACTAATTTTTCTGCTCAGGTTCTAAGCCTTTATGACTTCTTCTCTCGTCCTTAATGTATCTAAAAAACATGAGATGGAGAAAGATTTCATGAACTTCTAAAGAAAATGAAAAAAAAAAGTTAAGATTTTTAATATTTTACATCTGATAAATAATGATGGAATTGTCTTAGCTTGTWCTTCTCCACATAGGCATAATTTTAGTGGAAATGGAATATGTATAGCTAAAATCCATTGTATCCTTTAAAAAAAAAGTCACAAGAAGCAACAAAGCAACCAATGGAGGTTGCTTTCAAAAGATCAGCTGTTACAAAAATGCTGCAGTTTYCAGCACATCCCATATCCTCCTGTCAATTCAATATTCCCACTTCACAGTAAGGATACTGAAAATAATCTCTAACTCTTTTTAGAGAAATAAGTGATCTGAATTTCAGGTTACGTAAATTCATTTTACTGTCACTGCAGAGTCATTATAGTCATGCTTAAAGGAAAACTCACCCAATGCTGCAATTATGTAAAGCTTCAACTTATCTAGATATCATAACATATGATCAAAATACTCACCTGTAAAGTTGGTGAATTCTTGTCCATGCTTCCCCAGCTCAGCACCCAGACTTGATCATGAGATTTATCATAGTGTAGTTTCACTGGAACAGGATCTGTTCTTACTGCCTACAGCAAAGTAAAAGTAGATGTCATCAGATTGTCTTAGATTTTTTTTTTAAAGAAAAACAATATATATGATGGAATTAAAATGATTATTGGAGATACATTTCCTGCTGTTTTCAGACCATGTTTAAAAATTACCTCATCAGTTGTTGAAAAAGGCCTCTGATTAATTCAAAGTCACTGAATTGCTCAAGCAGTGATTTTTGTTCATTATGTGTATTAACACTTGGCAACAAAATTATATTATATTGAAGCTATTAAGAAACTGAAAAGTTTTAAATCATGTAAAAATATACCTCCCTACCATGTCTATCACTTTAGGTCTATCAGTTTAAAAACTGCATGAATTAATGGAAAATGGCTAAAGAGGGAAGAGCCATCTCAAGCCACATACTGAAACTGACACAACGTGTTACTATGCAGTACTGCATAACACCAATGCAATGTTGCTACACCAAATATCTTGGTTCTCATAAACTGGATATATCTTTTGAAGTTGATACTTACATTATTAAAAAGTGTATTTTTTTCCAGTGATATTTGTTACCTTTGATAGACTTCAGATCAGACTATAATGATCAGTACCGAAGTGTTTTCTGTACAACTTTGAGATCTGTGCCTAAAGATTACAAACTCTTTTAGGCATTTTAGCACCRAGTTTCTTTTGTTACGAGTGGAATTGAAGACTTTAAAAGTATTAAACGGGAGGACAGGATATTTGATTAAGAGATATCTTCTGTGAGACAAACAATGCTGGGGATTACTTTTCTATTTCCATCAATGTAGTAGGAAAAAAACTGCAGGTGGAAATTGTTTTTTAGTCTCACCATCATGGAACTGTAAAGCACAGCTTGTTTACCAGTTTGTCAAGGASAGTACCAGCTGGCTAATTAAGTGAACCTAATTTAAACTAATGATGTAGATCCTCAAGATAATGCACTAATGGCTGGCTGAGACTGCTGATGATACTTAACTGTACCCCTGAGGTGTTGCAAGCCACAGCTTCATCTAGGCAGAATTCATTTTTTCCTTTCTGGAAATGCAAAATGAAGCCAGGTTGTTCACTGGCTCATTGAAAAGCAGAAAGATACCCCTTGAAAAAGGTCATTCATGTTCRATAACATTTTTCTGCAGCAGGTCAGAAGATGAGTTGTCTACAGTAATATGGGGGCTGCTGCATTAATTTGTTCACGAGTGTCAAATTTCCATCTAGCTCCTTCGCACCCAAGGTGTGAGGCAGAAGGGCTCAGCCACCCGCATACCAGCTGTGCTTGGGGTCTGGGCCATGGCACAGTGAGGAGGAGGAGGAGGAGGAGGGATTGCCCACAGAGCCCAGCACAGGCGGGATGAGGCAGTTCAGAGATGCTCAGCTCCATGGAGCCATGATCCAACAGCTGCTCCTAGTCTCTGATGTTTTGTCTATAACATTAGCTTTTATAGTGTAAGTGGATGTAACGTATTCATTAGTACTAAAAACAAAGCAGTCAAAATATGCATATGTTAATCTAATGTTAATTTCTACATGCAAAAGACACTTTGTCTTACTAAATTTCTGTGTCAAATATTTGCATTTTGTGAAGTGGAAAGTAAAAGTCTAATTAAAATGTGTATATCCTAGAACTATCTAAATTAAGACTTTCATTCCTACAAAATGTTTGCAAAGATGGCCCAAAGAAAAAGGCCCAAAGAAAGTAGAAAAGATTTTTTAATACAATGGAAAAGAAGTATTTCTTGTGGCCAAACTGGTCATTAATTTAAAAATAAGGCATAGGTACCTGTACAACTTTCTGAGACTGTACATCAACAATGAGCACTCTGTCGAGCGTGGGCTGAGTTGCGTATATGAACTTGTCTTTTACATTAACAGCAGTCGCCCATACACACCGCTGAACTGCATCTCCTTCAGCTTTGGGACACACTTCATCCTATGGTTCAATAGGAACAGGAAAAGAGTATGAGAAATTAGAGTCAAATCAGTTAAGAACGCAATAGAAATACCACCTACACTTTGGCTGCTGTTTAACTCTGAAATATGATTCCCCAAAACTTTAGGGGAGGAAATAGGTAAGCATATYTCTAGGACATTGACTGGGATTAGCTGAAGTGCATGTTGCAAGAACCACAATACTCACAAGTAGTTCTATCACATGCCAGTTCTTCAGATCTGTTCCAGACATTCATGCAGATGTTAGTATTCTTGATTTCAGTGAAAGGATCTGATCTTTCAAAGTTACATTCTATGAAAGTCCATTYGAACTCATGACATATATATCTCTATCAATCTATTTCTATTTATTCTCAGTAAAAGTTTGGTTAGGTATTCTAAATTTAATTTTAAATTTAAATAAAAAGGTGCTTAGACATATTCCTTAGAAATTCCTTTTATGAAATAACATGAATTTTTCCTATAGTAGACTACAGTGGCTTTATGTAAAAATGAGGACCTGAAAAATATTCTGATTGGAGATAAATTATATGTTATATTTCTGTTTTCCTGACCTATTCTTCTTTTCCTTTGTAATTTTTCTTCCTGTAGTTGCAAGGAGCGATTTCATCAAATGATACTAAAAAAAACTCTAATGCTTATTCATAATTTAAAACACTCAGAAACATCATTACTGGTCATCGTGTTAACAATTTTGGTACATCAACAGAGTTTTAAAAGGAACAGAACAATAAATTCGGTACTAAATAAAATGTTTTTTCAAGAAGCAGATGATGTATTTTAGTGCTAACTTTTCTGTATCAGCAACATCCTTTGGCCATTGTGTCTGTGTACATTTGAGAAAATACACTCAATCTTGATAAGTCTAAATAAAAAATAAATCAATTTCCACTCTAAAAGATGGAGTTTCTTTACAGGAGATCAATAGCTACTACTGCTTTCTGCGAGATTCTTAAACCTCAACAAAGAGAAGGTCTTTCAGAAATCACATTTATAATGAACAGGTGCCAAATCCAGTCACCATGAGATGGCACATAAGCAAGAATGTTAACAGAACTTACATATAACTAAGAGTAAGATTTATTTTGCACAGTTAAAAAGCAACACACTTAGAAACTATAATGATATGACTGGATATGGATAATTCAAGAAATTTGCTTCACTTTTAATACAGCAAGTAAAAAGCCACATTTTTTTCATATCAAAATTAGAGAAAAAAAAATACAAATACAACTGCAATTTACTGGTTCTRAAATATATTATCATAAATTTCCAAAACTCATTCAGCTCCAAATATCTAAGAAATCCCTTCAAAATACATTTCTTTGAAATGACAGTAAAATTTCTGTTGCACCAAAATTCTCATAAACATTCTTTTTCCCCAGCATCAATCAGTTTGTGCAGTTGTTTCCCTAGCTATTCAAGTTCACATATATTTAGATGTACTAGAAATAGGTTCAATCAGTGGAGATGAAATCTTGTATTTGAGAAGTCAACACTTGTCTGATTAGACAATATGGATTTCTTTTGAATTTCAGGCAGTAATTCTAAAGCTGTATATTAATTTCCCCAGGGGTTGGGTAACTGGTTAAAATAATTTGTACTTAAAATATAAGAACAAACACACAATTTTCTTATTTTAATTAAAATGTAAGCATTTTTTTCCTAATTTATTCTCTCTGAAAAAAAATCATATCTGATAAAACATTAATTTATTTCATTGTTGATTCCCCATGACTTCTTAATCAAAAAGCGACTCAAACCTATATCAAACAAACAGATGGAAGAAAATAAATCCTTGGAGAATGTTTTTCAAAGTGGCCTGAAGCAAGATATTTCTCTCAAGAGAAAATCTATGTTTATAAAATTATGTGGGTAAGTTCTACACTTAAGYATTTACATTTATGCAAAGGACCTTAGTGTTTTCATAAGGTTTGAATTAAGCTCTTTAAGTACTAAAATAAAAAAATCTATCTATGCCATGCTCATCTGAGACATGAACAGTTTACAACAGGGCATATACTAGATGTTACTATACCACCAACTCCATATTAGCTTCTTGCTCACTTGCTGTGAGCAAACATCAAGCTATGGATCGCTATCACACTATACTTTTGTTTGTGTTGTTTTTTAAAGAGACCAGTAAATTAACCATCTTGCATTTTTTTTTAGGTTTTAGGGAAAGAAAATTTCTTTAGAAAATCTAGTGTTTTCAAGTTCTTGTCCTGCGGGCACTTTGCTCTGCCATATAGTCACATCGATAATTTTGCTCTACAATTAAGACAAACATAATCTGTATTATCTTTGATGAGATCTATTCCAAATAAATTATTTTTTTCCATATATAATCATGTGTTTTCCAAGATTCCTATTTGAAATGAATGGCAAGCATCTGTCATACTTGGAAAAGTACTACTGTTTTTCAGCATATGGAAAAACTAGAAGATTTTTCAAGGATTAGATGTGTTTGGCCTTATATTTAAAATATAGTTGGTACAATTGAAACAAAATATTCTAGTGACCTGGAAAAATGTGTTAATTATGTCCACAACCATTTAGGAAGTTACTATCTTTCTAACTACTATTCAGTAGCATGACATATATGTGTTAAATTGACTCTAGTAAATATAGCTATCGGGGTGGACCGAATCATGATCTCAAAGAAAATTACTTGACCAATGTTATGTGGAATATAAATATATATGTTTATAGCTTTTATAAAATATATATAGTGTAATATACATAGMCTTATATATAAAATTCTGTTATATATGTGTAAAAGAACCTACATAGAGCAAATTTAATGTATCACAATATCATAATATATATATTTAAATATATACACATACAACGTAATTATCATTATATAACTTAAAATRTAAGTGTATATATTTGTTACATATAATACCAGGTACTTTTGAGATGCTGTTGTTCGAATCATAGAAGAACCAGAAATTCAAAACAAACATTTTTATTTTGAAATTGAGTGTGCTGGTCCCAYTTTTAGAACACATGGAACTTCAAGCATGAGATGCCATGTTTTAGTGAAATATGAGTATCATGTAGTTGTTCTTGTGATGAAGAGGAAATCAGGGTTTGTTGAAATCCAATGAAAAGTTTGCCACTGGTTTCAACAACCACATATTTTTAATCACTACTAYTTGTTTGCTTTGGCAGTAATAATTTTTTTAATTGCTATTCACTTGCAGAGAAGATTTTTTCCCCATATGTGTTAGAATTTGCAGACTCTGAATAATCATAATTTCCTGACGATAAATAGCTAGTGCCTGTTAGTGAGCAATATGCTCCAAATACTTTACAACAACACTGCAACACTGAATGCTGAAACATTCTACTTTGAGCGTGATTAAGAATCTATTTGACAACAGATTAGATGAACAGCTGTTAAGGCTAAACAATAACTTGAATCAGGAAAATGATATAAGCTTATTTCTATCCCTCCCTAAGCAAAGTCCATTTTCATGTGATATTAATTTAGAAGATTCCATTAGCTCAGGATATTCTGTAAAGAAGAGGAAATTGTTTACAATTTTCAACAGACAACGATACTCCAGTAAAGCATGAGGTCCCACGCTTCAGTTTAAACTTAGTCTAGTAGTCTAATTGATTATTCTGTTAGGCACATACTAAAGTGCTTTGCTCTACTGACACTTGGTTGCATAAGAGGCAATTAAATAATTAGATGAGGATTCTCAAGTTTATACTTATTGAGAAATTGTATTTACCTTTATCAAAATTAACATACCCAACCATGTGCATATCCCACTACAGCAACATGCATTCACAATATAACCCAATGGCACCTAAAAACACCTGAGTTCACTCTTCTCAAGGAGCTCAACCAATGGTAACTTTACTATGGTGAGAAGCAAACAGGAACCCTAGGGATAAATGTTGCAGTATAATGTGTATATCACATCTGGTACATAAACTGTGCTACACAATTTAGAGTTGTACTTACACTATAGTAAATATTTGAAAATAAAATGGCCCTACTAATGTTTTGCTAACCACCTGAATTGCTAAATCAGAAAAAATTAAAAAGAAACAAAAGAATTCTAAGGAAGTATTAAATGATTTCCTTTACGTGTAAGAGTTAAGTTTTGGAAATGTTTATCAATGATAGGTGTTGCAGGTGTGAAATGATACATAGAGCAATGGGGAAATACAAAATATAACATCTCTAATTAGCAAAATGATACAACAGAAGAAACAAAAAGAATTAATAATACAGAACTTATCATTTGAACTCTTGAACTCTGAACTAATGATCACAAGCTGAGTTTGATACAATCTGACTCTGAGATCCCGAGCCAGATTATTTTTAAAGAGAAAACAGATTTTCCCAAAGAAGCTTGGTGAAGGGACTTTACTCTGCAAAGGACTCAGCTATTATCTAAAGACTGGTGATGAAAAATATTAAATTTTACTTAATAACCACTGAATAAATTAAATTTATTAACTACTCTAAGTAAGGGAGGAAATTTTCAAGTTTCATAAAAAAAGCAGAAATATTATTGGATTTAATAGGCCAAACGACATGCATGAAGGTGCATGTTGTTGCATGCACGCATTTAATTTCTGGCTGTGCATTTACCACAACTACCCATAAACCAGAAATCTTCTAGAAAAGGACACATTTATACTTAAAAATGGRGCTTCTCACACAAAGTACTTCCCTTTTCTCTCTTTTTTTGGAAGGTGGGGGAAGTGAGGAAAGTGGAATGCAGGGACTTAACTACTAGTTTAGATTTTAAAGTTATAAAAAGCATTAAGTCTACCATTGGCCTTACTTAGCCATTCTGATTATCACCACATTTCAATAAATTTAGGCTGCACTTACTTTGAATTTTAAGCCAATAAAATTATAACAAACTTCTTAAAGAAACAGCAAAAGAGATAAAAAAAAAAAAAAAAAAAAAAAAAAAAAAAAAAAAAAAAAAAAAAAAAGCTGTTTAAAAGCTCTTTGGCTTATTTTTGGCCGTGTCAACCTAATTTCACTTAAGTAGCACAAATCAAGGCATGATTAGCAGTTCAAAGGATAATTATTCATACTAAAATAAACCTTTCTGTTGAGTGCAGCCTTTGACATCAATAATGATAGCTGAAAAATAAAATTCTATTAAGACAGTTCTATTGTTCCTTCTGCAATCTTTAGGTTCTAGGGAAAAAAATATGTGTACAGTTCATGGATTACTATAATTTGGTTCTCACTCCAAGGCCATTAATGCAAATCCAAACCATAAGGAAAAAATATTTTTGAAAGATAATACATTATACAGGACAAGTATTAATGGGGTGACTGGTACCCAAATGTTCATGTAAGAACAGCTAGAGATTTGATTAGCAATACAGAAAGAAACAAAGGAATAAAAGGAAGTAGAAAGTACACTATCATTTTACATACCACTGCATATGGAAACTGTTCCATAAATGCAAGGAAAGTGGGGAAATCAGCTAACCATATACTGATAGTAAGATCATTTAAAATAATAAATTGTAAGTTTGATTCAAAGCATCAATCATCTCTAGCTGGTGAAGCTGTAAGAATATTTACTGGCTTAGGAAATGTGACTCATGATAACAGTTTAATAGACAAACAAAACGAAATTCATGGGAGAAAAATATAAATGAGTAAGTAATGGAGTAAAAGACACAATTGAAAAAAGTTTAGATCTTGTTCTTAATAGAGTTTCAGTGTGTGATTTATAGAGATGCACCTAACTGCTGGGAAAACAAAAATCTCCAATTAGGAGATCATGACAGAAAGCTGTTAACAGAAAGGACTAGGAAAAGAGAAAAACAGCCAAAGAAAAAGAAGCGTAGAAATGCATGCTGTACTGGGAATATTTGTTCTGAAGGAGATACTGAGAGTTGGAATTTTATTTTAAAACAATAGCAGAAGAGCATACCATTATACAATAGTTATTAACTGATAGAGACATGTCTGAATTTCTCGAATAAGAAACAGCAAATTAAAGTACAATTGAAAAAAAAACTCTATAAATAAATTTAAAAAAAGAAATACCTGAAAACCGAGAAGTTTTTCACTTGGCTTAATATGCCTTTGAAATTCACATTCCACTGGTTGTATTACTTTGATTCCATCTTCATAAAAAACATAAAACATGTTCCCAATTCCGAGACCTTAGGAACAAAAAGACATCAAAATGTTTAAAATTAAATCATCATTAAAACAAACAAGAAAGCTTGTGCTGAATTTGTGTCATCATACGACTGGTCTGAGATGAATTTGTCACTGTGTAGTGTTAACATAGATAATCCTGGGGGATTATAAAATGAAATAAAATAAAACTGTTATGTTTCACATAATTTTCTCTATGCACAAGTCAGTGGCTTTATAAAAATAGATCTGGAGAGGTAAGTAGTTTGGCAGCTGCAATAATGGAAGGGATCTTGTGAAATCACAGAATGGTTGAGGTTGGAAGCGACCTCTAAAGAGGTCCAACAYGATCATGTGGCACAGGGTGGCATGCAGGTGGGTTTTGAAGACCTCCAGAGAAGGAGACTCCTTAACCTCTCTGGGCAGCCTGTTCCATGGCTCTGCAATCCTCACAGTTCTTCCTCATATGGAGATGACACTTCCTGTGTTTCAATTTATACCTATTACCCCTTGTTCTGTTGCTGGTCACCACTGAGAAGAGTGGTGACCACTCTTTGACCCCATCCTCTTTACATTCTCCTCTCCCGTGTTTGTTCATGTGGGCAAAACTTCCTCTCAGTCTTCTCTTTTCCGGGCTGAATAGGCCTAGTTCGCCTAGTCTTTCCTTATACGATAGGTGCTCCAGTCTCTTAATAATCTTGGTTGCTTTCCGTTGGACTCTTTCTAGAAGCTCCATGTCCCTCTTATACTGGGGAACCCAGAACTGCACTCCAGGTGCAGTCTCACCAGAGCTGAGTAGAGGGGCTGGATCCCYTCCTCCGACCAGCTGGCAACACTCCTCCTAATGCAGGCCAAGATCTTACTGGCATTYGTGGCTACCAGGGCACACTGCTGCCTCATGGTTAACTCGTCAACTAGAACTCCCAAATCCCTCTCCACAGAGGTGCTTTCCAGCAAGTCATTCACAATGGAATCAAATGAATATAAATTCTTGGGATCGAGGGATGGAAAAGTTAAAATAATTTCTGCATCAGATTGCTAGACAAGTTCTGAATCTCTGTAAAAATCACTCTTTATATATGTCGTTTATTTCAGTACAGCAAAAGAAGTATTTTATTTTATAGAAAAGCTAGAACAGGCCAGAACAGCCAGAACAGAAATTCAATGAAAATTTGAAGAGACATAAATGTTTATAGAACTATTCAATCCTTTTACTGTAGTGTTGCTTAACAAAAGGCATGATGTTTCATAGGATCCCAAACAGTAGCATCAGGAATCATATCTGTGGTCTTGCTCAGTTGTCATCACCCATTCTTCTGAGTTTTCCATGTGTCAGTTAAGATAACATTTGTTGACCTATACTATATGGATGATATAATGATCAGATAACATTTGCCAAATCTTTGGAGAAGACTATCATTGCATTCATAAAATTATCTTTTAAATAAATTGCGACAATTAACTTAGAGATTACAGTAATAAGGACATAGGGGCCTCCTGGTACAGGACCTAAGCTTCCATCGATGCAATAGTATTTGTAGGAAGATGGAAGAGTACTGAATTCTGAAACAAATCTTATTTTAACAAAGTGAGAAGACACCTTAATATCCAGCAAAATAATGAAAACAATAACATTAATGCATTTGGGGAAAAAAACTGCATGTACGTGTGTATATGCGTATACACACTCCCTCTCCCCACACCTACAGATTCCTAGTCTGCATTAAGAACCCCAGAGATATTACAGAGATATTACTTTATAAGACAGTAAGATGCATAAAGCTGTGAGCTCAGGCACAGAAAAAGTAACTTCAATTATTTTTGAGAAAGCGAATGAACTTAGAAATTTATAAATGACCACCCTCCCAAACCAAATAAAAAAATAACAAAAAAAGAAAACTAAAAAATAAATGAGAATACTCAGGGCTTTCACAATATAGCAGCTGTGTAACAATAATATACTTACAAATATTGCTGCATGTAGACAAATGTGAATCTATGTTTAAAACTGGCTGGCATTGGTTTGAAAAAAATGAGTGTGTTTGCTTTTGTAAACAAAACATTTAATAACATTTAATTTCTGTGTGCAGTTCTGGGCTCCCCAGTACAAGAGGGACGTGGAGCTTCTGGAGAGGGTCCAGAGAAGGGCCACCAGGATGATTAAGGGAATGGAACATCTCTCGTATGAAGAGAGGCTGAGTGAGCTGGGCCTGTTTTCTCTGGAGAAGAGAMGGCTCAGAGGGGATATGATTAATATGTATAAGTTCAGGAAGGGAGAATGCAGGGAGGAAGGGGACAAGCTGTTATCACYGGTGGCCAGCGATAGGACGAGGGGTAATGGCCACAAGCTGAAGCACAAGAAGTTCCGTCTCCAGGTGAGGAGCAACTTCTTAACTGTTAGGGTGACAGAGCAGTGGAACAGGCTGCCCAGGGAGGTTGTGGAGTCTCCTACTCTGGAGGTCTTCAAAACCCACCTGGATGCCACCCTGTGCCACATGCTCTAGGTGTGCCTGCTTGAGCAGGAAGGTTGGACTAGATGATCTSTAGAGGTCCCTTCCAACCTTAACTATTCTGTGATTCTGTGATATCTATACTAATATTTTTATATATATATATTATTATTGTAATTTATAAAGCTCCTTCAAAACACTTTCAGAATTTCTGACATATTAACTTACATAACAACTAGTTGTGAAAAGGCTTTTCTGTATGTCACATAAATACAGACATATATATTCAAATATATTGTGGGTATTAAAAAACAAATCAAGGGTTTGGCGATCTTAGTTGCTCCACTATTCAGCCTTCCCTCTCCTGTCAATACTTATATACTAGAAAATGACAAAGACTATCTGATGCAGAAGTTAGTGCTGATGTTTATTGGTATCTTCCAGGTTTTGTTTTCTTATAAAGGAATTCCATCATTGGRACCAGCCACAACATTCACTGGAATGGCCTTGCTAAGAAGAAACATGTGAGTGACCAAGATCTACTGTAGCAAGGGACATTGCTGTTTCATACTCCTGTCCCCTATTATGGATTAGTTTCCTTTCAACTTCCCAACAGTTATAGAGAAACTGGCATTCATAAAATTAGAAAAAACTCTTTCCATAAGTCCCTTGGCAAATTACTATTTTAATCAGTCTTTATTGTTACGGAATTCAATTTTTCCTAAGTGCTTTATAATCACTGAAGGCATCACAGAACTTGGCTTGAAAAAACAGTCCTTCAAAAATCTTGGGGTGCCAATGTTTTCAGTTCTCTTTTCTTACACAAGATAAGTCTGGGAGTAAAACCTCAAAAAGCAGTGAGAATGCCATACAGCTGAAAATTAGAACTTCKGGTATACTTCCTTAATTGCTAATAGCTAAATGGTACGCAGCTCTGAACAAGTCAACTGTACACTGCAAAGCCAATACAGCAGGAGGGTAATAGTGAGCTCATGCTCACTATAATTTGTGAAATGATTTGTTTACCAGTTGAGGAATATCCAAAACCCTAGTTCTTCCTATTTGCAAAGGCACTGGAAAATGCCAAAGACTGCTAAGCAAACCAAATGTTGATTTTCAAATCTTGCAACTAATTTAAAATACCTCTTTGAGAATCACTCAGCTGAACTGAATTCCCAGAAAAGTCTGAGCCACTTACAGTACAATGCAGCTTCCAATGGAAGTAACTAAAAACTTCTTATTGTTGAAATATTTGAATTCCTAAAGAGTAACATTAAATTGAAATCAGACTACATAAAGAGATGAGATCTCACGCCAACACTGCGATTTTATACTTTTTCATGGTGACACTTATTTCTGCAATGTGCTAGATGCAAACATTAACACAAACATCAAAATAACCCATCTTGCAAGATGAAAGACACTTCATGGTTTCTATATTAATAATATAAAATATTGCATTATATTTATCCTTGAGAGGTCCAAAACTTGGAAGTCCAAAACTTAGAAGCCCTTCATGATCATACGTCTCACTAAGAAACAAGACCCTCACTCAGAATGAAACTGTTTAAGATAGTAACTTTGACAAATAAGAATAATTCATACAAAAGGATCAATTCCAACAGCAGACAGTTTGGCTGGAAATGTTATCAAGTCAGTTAAATCAAATCCACCGAGTGTTACAAGGGGGAAGATAATTACTATAGTCTATGAACAATAAATTTGTACAGGGCACAGCAGACAAACATTTCACTGAAAAATACATTTTACTGAAAAATACAAAAAAAGAATGATTTGTACCTTGTTCTCGCCACAATATGTTTGCGACTGTAGCATGTAGGAAAAAACAGAAAACACAAATGAACAAGAAAAAAATCATGAAAGGACGCATCAATTATGAAATAATTAATATGTTTTAACTTCTGATTCACTGAAATACTTACAATGTAAACTGATGGAAACTACAAATTAACAGTAAATGTAATAAAGCTCTGTATGTCAAAATGATAAAGTCATGATTAATCATCATAGTTACTGGGGTTAAAGTGAATCCCACTTTAACCACTCCCAAGCTAATTCCTGTAGCCTTTTATGAACAGTATGTTTCATAATCCACTAAAAAAAATGTGGCATTTTCATACACAGAAATTGTGTAGATAAATTAGAAATTATGCAATTTTCATCAGTTCCTATAAAAGTACATTTGAACTTTGAAGAAATTTATTGCAGAACGTAAAGACAAGAGAAACAGATAAAAACAAAATGCAAAACTAATATTTAAAGTTACTGTTCTGTATTGCTCTAACACAACTATGGTACTTTGAAGTTGATATGATGTTTAATACTAACCTTGGGAAAGTGCAGAAGTGAACTGTTAGATAGTATAGCAACATTTTTAAGGAGTACGGTGTTTGGATTTTGGACATTTGAGAGCAATGAAAACTTATTGTACTCATTTGCTATCTGTTGCTTTTTTTCCTGATTGAGGAAAATAAAAAGGATGCAAATACAACTGSAGATATTTTAAATATTTAGAGCTCAGTATTCCATAGAATAAGCTGTTTACAACATGGCCATTAAAGTACTTGGCAACGTAATAGTCTTAGAGAAAAATTTAAAAGAGTACCATATCTAGAACAAGCACACAAGTATAGTTGTCACAAACCTGATATAATGAAATTGTGATGTTTATTAGAACAGAGTGTGGCAAAAGCTTAATACACCCATGTGCTTTAAACATTAGCAGGCAGCAATGGGAGACACATTATTAAAAGCAATTACCTTGCTACTAAGGAAGTCCTTCAAACTTGTCTTGTTCAAAGGATAAGGAAGAACAATCACCACTCTAGAAGTCATTGGGCTTTTACTGAAAATTGCTAGTGAAAAGACTCATACAGTACACCATTTCTCTTGCTCTTTAATTCAAAAATAAAAGAGCATCAGATGTGTAAAAATCTGGATATTTTTATTTATCAGGGCACTATCTGACAAAATGATGATAAGAGAGTTCTGGGGTGTTTGGCTTGCTTCTACCCATCCTCTACTATTTTTGTTTTAATTCTCTGTTGAATGTACTTGATTGTAATGAGCAAGCTCATTATATGTATGACCTTAGATGCAGTATGTAACCTGTATTACTCAGTTATTCCTTGATAAAATGAGGGTGATAATGACTTTTTATACCTAAGACTTTCTGGCACAAAAATGAAATATTCTTACATAAGTGGAAAGTAGCAGTAATACTGTTAAAGTGAAGCAGTGTTGAATGCTACAATAAAATGTCACTTTTCTACAGAGAGAGAGACTTTTCTTCTCTCTTATGACTAAATACCATGAAAGCTAAATGAAATATTTTTATAAAATGCTAATTTGATGCCCCAACACTCATAAGTAAAATAGGAATCAACAGAAAACTTAACATCTGAAGAATTTCTTAGATTGTTGCAGTAAGAGGACAAGTCCTTTAAAAATYGAAGGTGGAAAAAAAAAGCAAAAAGACACATTTTCTGCCTTATGTATTGATGTGGTGAAATACTTTTGGTAATATTTTTCACAATAACAGAAAAAAAAAAGTATCTTCTGAAATCCAAATATTGATTGTTCATAATTTGACAGCAACTTTTTACTGTTATTTTGTCTCATCAAAACACCATCTTTGTTATTAAGATTCTGTAAATATTTTACTTGAATTTCTATCAGAATATTCCGGCTGATGAAAGTCAGCAGTCAACAATCTCATTTCACCTTTGCTGTACTAAACTTTGTACCATGAAATAGGAATCACTGATTCCACTGACTGATCCAGTGGAAGCAAGAGGTAAAGCAAGAAGTATTACAGGCAACAGGATGGGATATAGGAAGATGTAATATTATATGGCAAATAAATAAATAGAATTTCCACTCTTTCTGTTATTTTTTGAATTGCCTTACCATAATCTGCTGTGCTCCACTATTATCAGCATGATTTCTCTCACTTAAAACAGTGGTTTAATTTCTGTTCTTCATTTACGTTTTTATATGTATATACAGTCCTCCTGAGAGCGCTCTCACCTTCCCCCAAGTTTCATTTTTTTTTTTGCACTAATGAATTATTTTGCACGTTGGAATATTTGCAAGAAAGAGAAAGAAGAAACCTTCCAATAATGCCTTCTTCATTGGGTCTTGCCCTCTGTCAAAATGAGGAACAACACAGAAAATTTCTCTTGCACTCTCTGCTGCTGTTAAACTGCTGTTTAGCAATGGAACAACAGAAGCATCAAGTGCTGGAGGGCAGAAATTCCAAATGTTTCATTAGCACTGAGTAAAATATCTCACTCTCTATGAATTTTAACCAAATTACAAATCCATAAAAACRCATCTGTTTTCCTTCTGAATCATCCAGTTTTATAATATAGCTTGTACTATTCCAAATGAGTAAGAAATAACTGTTTTATAAAACCTGAAACTAATTAAATGTTGCTTTATGTATCTGAATTTGGAATCAACAGGTTTTATGCTGCAAAACAGATAAATAAACAATAATTAGGATCTTTTTAATAAACTTAGCAGTCATTCCAGAGTTTATAGCACTTCAGGAYGCTTCCAAAAACTGTAGCCAGAAGTGTGCTCCAATTTTCTATTTAAAAGTAAAAGGTGTTATCCTTACTGCAAGTATGGAGAGACCTAGTTTCTGTTATTAACATACCACATGCTAATATGTTTATATCATATGCCAGTGCTAAATGAAATAATGTCTTAATTCTTTCAAAACATTCACCTAATTTCTTAAATGTTGTGGTGTGATTTGATGATTTCCCTTTCTTTTCCTTCATCCCAAAGGAGTCATAAAAATAATATCCAAGTAAGTTGCAGGAATGTTTCTGTAGTAGTGCTTACATGAACATAGTGTGAGAATTCTGAGAAAGTAGTTGCAATACACATTTATTGTTCATCTTATAGCTACAAGAGTAACTGTTAGGAAAAAAATAATTTCAAGATGTTTGGAGGAATGCTGTCTGCATACTTCACTGATAGCCACCACCTTTGGGACCTTTTCTGGTTTATCACAAACACATGAGAAAAAGAGCATATCTGTTATATTCTTGCTTGTTCTCTTATCTGTAATGTATAAACACATGCCCTTATGTTAAAAGGCAAGACTATGCCACCTTTACTGTCTGACTGCTGAGCTACAGTTCTGTAGGTATGTAACAATGTGTGACAAAACATTTCTCCAATTGCATGCATGTGTGCATTTTGATATATAAGTGAGTAAATATCTTCCAATAAACTAAACAGTATAAATCTGGGATGGATTTGCTGCTTGCCCACCACATTAGCTTATTGTTTCTAATTTGTTCTTTATAAATCYTCGAAATGAATCATGCTGAATTTCTTTCTCACAGCACACTAATACAGTCTGTATTAGTAATGAAGTAGAAATGGTTCATAGGTCGAGTTTCTATTCCCCCACCTCGAAATGTGGAATAGAGTCTTTGTCTATGATGCTGTCAACAAGCACAAACGTATTTAGCTCAGCCATAAAATAAAATATCAACATAAATTATCTCCAAGGAATTACACAACTAGGTATCTCATATAAGATGTGACAGGAAGATACCATTAAATATGCATAAAGCCTTTCACAGAAAATTTAGGCCATAAATCACAGTCAAAAGGCTTTTAGTCTTATTCCAAGTTCTAGACCATAGAAATGCCTGGTTGCTTCTGAAGGCCATAAACCTGTCAAGGTAGTAGGATTCAGATCACATAATCTCCTGTCAGGTGACAGGATTTGGACATTATGCAAAAAAGGCACTGGTTTAGAAATAGATCTACTTAATGGTATGGAAAGACATTATTTTTTAAATACAGCCCCAAGACACAATGCATGAGGTGGATAATTTTCAGCCTGCTCTGTGCAAATAGATTAGAGAATTTATAGGAGAAAGTGTGTGATGATGTCACAGGGGGTGAAGCAAATAGCATAAGAGCCTGTGATTGATAACCAGGAATAAAAACTCATAAATATTAAAATAACGTCAAGCACTGCTAAGTTGGTCCCAAAAATGCCTTAGTAGCACGATTAGACAACTTTCTGTCAGGATAACTGACTGCCTAGGTACGTTCCTAAGTCTCAATACTTGAAAAAATAAGAGGAGTACTGAAGGAGACATTAATCAAGCGGAAGCTGAAACATGTTTTATAAAACAAAGTTTTGGGAAAAAAAAACTAAGAAAACTGAAAATATTGTGGTGAACAAAAAAATTGCAATAATAATAACAAATCTACAGAATTGCTTAGCTTTAAAAGCTTTAAAAACAGCACATGCTTTTACAATATATTATTCCAGCTTGATAGAATATATTAAAATGGAACTGAGAAGAAAACAAAGTGGAAACTGTTGTATCTGTCAAAGTCACAGAGAAATTTTTAAATATTCGAAAATTGCCAGTGAAAGTATTCTTGTCTTTGACATTCAGTGACATTCAGTCCTGTTTATTTTCCTTTTCCTGTAATATCAGAGTACTCTATATTGATGTACTCTATTCCACTAATTCTACTAAATATTCCTGTGCTAGCACAAATTTACTTTTTTTTTTTTTTTTTTTTTTTTTTTTTAAGCTCACAAAATGGTTTATTTCTACTCCATAACTATGCAGTATATTACATATATAACTCATATTACTTTGGCTAAAATTTGCCATATATAAATTACTGGTCATAATACCATCTGACTATAACCTGAAAACAAACAGCCCACAGGTGGACAATGCTATTTCCTTTCCCTGTTTTCATTTCAGGACTATATTCTCTGTTACAACAAAAGACAGGAACATCTCAGACCA